ACATCTCAAATTATTCTGTTTAATTGTTTAAAGACAATTGCTTTCTTGCTTATAATATTAAATATCTGTGGTTTCCTCACAGGAAGAAAGGAAAATACATTTAATCACGTTCTACCACATGGCAAACACAGAGACCCACACTATGTGCCCACAGCACACAGTAATATATTATAATCAACCTAGAAAACACTATGCATGAAAAATACCCATATATTCCTAAGAATAGAATGAAGCTTTAATGAAACAGAAAAGTAAACATGCAGCATGTAATAAAGCATTTACAAGAAAGTTTTTGGTAAGACAAAGAATATCTGCAAGAAACAGCAGTAGAATTCAGTTCGGGCATCGGTATAGATTGAATTTGTCATGCGGCAAGAAATGATGAGAGGAGGACAATAAATGTTGCGTATGAATCATAAAAAAATACAGTGTAACAATTTCAACTCTCATAATTAGAGTCAAAAATACGTATGTATGTGAAATGACAAAATCAATGGCCCCAGGCAAGAATGCAAAATGTTCACATGAAATCCCAATCAACCTGTCCATTCTTAAGAGACTGTTGCTCCTTCCGTTGTGTGGGGAGAGAATATTGCCTGATTGGCACAATACACAAGCAACTTGAGTAACTCTAAATTAGAGATCTGAGAGACATTTAAATAATTGGATAGTACCATTCTCACAACTATTTTAATGACGTGAATTCTTTCACAGACTAAATTCTAGCTGTAAAATGACATCATTAAATATATTCTAGTCACACGCTGTAGAAACCAAAGAATGTGATACACTGTGACCATGAAGAATATGTCCTCTAAATTTAAAACCATGGTATGGCCATATGAGGTTAGATAAATAAATATTTGGATGGACCAACAAATCATGATAAAATATTTTGTTTTTCTTAAAATAGTCTCATTTAATAGCTGGGTAAAACACTATAAATAGACTTTGATCTATTTATAATTCATGGTTTATAAGTTAATTTTATTTATCAATTAACATGTAAATAAAATGTATTAAAATATAACTAAAATACAACAGTGCAATGGCTGGGATTGGGAGGAAGAAATTATCGAAACACCTATCTGTTCTATGTAATTACAGCCAATGCCAAGGATCCATATCCCATGACCTCTTAGTTTTGCTTTGCAGAGACTTGATAAAATTTGGCTATTTCTGTCCTGAAAATCTTAAAAATGTGCAATTTTTTCTGGGCTCCACATCGGGAGAATTACTTAATGTGTAACAAATTAGAAGAATCACCATTTTCTCCAAAGCACAAATAGGGATTTGAATTCACTAGGCAAACAGCCTCCTAAAAGATTTGCTAATATTAAAATATTTTAATAATCATTTAAAATTATGATCCTGATTTTTAAATGGTAAAAATTGGCTCATCAAAAATATAAAAACAGTTCACAAAATTGTTCATTACACTTTTCAACATCACTTACACGTTCTGTATCTCTTTTAAAGTTCAGTCAGAATTTATCAAAGCAAAATTATGTTTAAAATTATATTCAAGCAAGAAAACTATAAATGAAATTGTTCTTGACTACACATGTATGTTTTGAAAGACTACAAAATAAAATAAGCGTGAGAACTTTTATCATATAATCTTAATCATGCTTTTTCCTAATTATAGTGAAAGATCCAGTTTTACAATTTGTGTAAACCAATCAGATTTTCATTTTTCTCCTTTATAAAAGATCTGGATGTGTTTACGTGCAGTCATTACAAGAGGTTAGACACTCTGCCCTTTCCTTCTGTTAAAGTTTGGAAATTGCAAGCCACAATTTTTAATTTAGAAGTCAGCATTCTAAGCTAAAAGAATAGTCTTGAATGTAGCTAACTGATACTCTTCCAATAACCCATCACACTTACCACGGCTTATTCTTGCTGACCCTGTTAGCTGATAGATTCTAGAACTGCAGATTTTTTTTCCCATTAAGTTTATTGGTATATGTAAAGCAAACAATACAGTTACATTAATCATTGGGACCTTGTACCTTTACACAATATGTCTTGGTTTTTATTTTTTCCCCACACCCCTGCCCTCCCTTCACTCCCTTCACCCTTCCCTATTTACAAAAACTTTGTCTCCATTTTTTCATTTTTTCACATTTTTTTCTTTTCCTTTATTTCCTTTCCCCTCCCCTTCCCACTTCCCCTTTAGCCATTTTCTTCCTATTTCACATTATCAATTATATCATTATTTATTTGCACTTATTTACACAGACCTTATTTACACTTTTAGTTTTTCACACCAGAGAAACAATTCAGTATTTACTCAAGTGTGTCCTATTTATTTCACTTAAAGAGCATGGCCTCAATGTGCATCCATTTAACTATAAAATGTCTCTAGGACTCCGCATTTTAAAAGGAAAAGAAAATGTATAACATGCTCAAATTGTATTTGCTTTTAGAAGAAAAGACAAGGTTTATTTTTAATCATTTTGGGGTTTTTTTTCCTCCTGTTTGGTTTTCAGGTGGGAGACTGTTTGGTTTTTGTGATTAAAAAAAATGTTTGAAGCATGTCTTAAACTTTATATTTTGTTGAAAATAAAGACTTCAAGTACCCCATGATATTTCTCTTATATTTGATCATGTCTGTGACTCGTCATAAACTATATTTGAAAATACAATTAGCCCATATGGGTTTCAATAAAATAACTAAAATTTCAATACAAAAACCTGCTTTGTAAGTGTGAAAGATAAATAAATTCTGTGTAAGGAGTGTTGTTCACGATTTGAAAAATTCTTTTAATTGTCTCATATTGATAGATAAATATGACAAGATAAGTCATGAAGCAGCAGCTTAGGATAGAATGAATTGTAAATATGGGTCTTCTTCCATTAATTTCCTAAAATATGAATTTTTGTTTTAAAGAGTTCTATTTCTTAAAATGAATGTAAGTCTGACAATGAATATCTCTGTAATTTTATACTTATACTGTTCAGTCTAAGTGCTGATCAGTATAAATTTTGAAAATTTAAACAATGAAAAGATCCACAATAGTTAAAACCAATTAAACTTCTATAAGAAAGCTTAAAATTATTCATTTCTTCTCAAATTGAACATTCATATGAATATCTTAAAATCATGTTCCATAATTTCATAAAAAGCCATCAATTTAATAGTCAAGTTATAACTATAAAATCATACATAATAAATACTAATAACATTTCCTAAAAGTATTGTAAATTTGTTGCCATTCATCTAAATTCTTCAGCCCCAGAGAAAAACATCAATTAAGATAGACAATACAACTTTGAAATGAAATAAATTAGAAATAAATAAGAAGTAACAGGTTGTAAAAACATTAATAATAATTAACTGATATAGGAACATCTGGACAACTTCTATTCTTGCTTTACAAATAGGAGTAACAGAGAGAACTAAATGATCGTGTTATTTAACACCCACTGAGTTCTTAGGGACTGAGAGAAAAATGTAAGAAGGCACAGGCTAAGAATCTTGACCTTAGCAGTAGGAAATTCACTGAAATTTTTAATAAGGGCAGAACAAGGTAACACCTGGACAGTTATTTAATTAAGAATCTCAGCTTGAATTATAAAAGAGATATCAGAATGAGAAATGATTCCAAGATTTAATTGTAAAGACTGACCATCACAAATGCCAAAGACATTCAATCGCATCTATATTTGGATTCTATTTAGAAACATATATATTTAAGTAGGAATACAGAATCAAAACAAAAACAAGAATACAGAATCAAAACAAAAACAAGGGAACAAAAAAGTGAAGTTGACTGGGGAAACAGCCAAATTAGGTAAACGTATTTCTTCAGATACAAAAGTACTTCTTCAAACACAAAGAGTTTCGAATACAGGCACTACTACCTTGAACAATAAGAACAATTAACAAAATGAAGCAAAACTCTAAATTATAGTCTCTGTTAGTCAGCGATGTAAGTGATGTATAAACTGACATATTTGGTATATATATGTGTGTGTGTGTGTGTGTGTGTGTGTGTGTGTGTGCGTGTAGCAACTATGATATATCATAAGATATATAATATATTATTAACCTTAAGAAATGCAATAATTTAGATTCTGGCTCAACTAAATTAAATAAAAAATCCTCATAATTCAGAAAGTATTTACAGTAACCAAGAGAAATACAGTTTAAGGTGGGTTAAATATAAGCCTGGAACCAATATTCCTGAGGATTAATCACCAAACACCCTGTTCCTTATCTAGAACTTTCTACAACTCACACAGTTACATTCCTATTCAGAAATGGAAACCACTTCCCTTTTTCAAATTATTAATTGAATGAATCACTAAGTATCTAAAGGAATGGCTGAAGTCAGACAATCACCTTCCTTGCCCAGATCACCATAATTATGATCTAGTTTTTCACAACCACAAGAAAAAAGAAATTCTGTAAATAAAGTTACAATTATTCAGAAACAATTTTTTCTTCCTTTCTAGACTATAAGCTCCTTGAAGGTAGGTAGACTACTATTCACTAGTCTTCACATTGCCCTCAGCATCTAAAAGGGATACAGTTAAATATTTGTTAAGAACATGATAACTATTAGCAGCCCTTTCTCAGAGTCTTCTCATAATTGGCCCAATGAGTACTAACATGTAAATAAAAGTTAACTTCTCTACATAACGCTATTACATAATAAAACACAAGGCAGAAAGTAGTTGGGGCCAATAAAAGTAGCATCTGTATGCTCCCTTGGAAATCAAAATGTCTTAAATTGGTTGTATTGGATAAATGACAGAAGGGAAAAAACAGACAGGGCTTTTTCTGCTTCTACATCATTTCATAAAAGAGTACATCAACCACTACCTAGTCGATACTTCTTATATTCACTTGTACAATTGTGTACAACATCCTTGAATAACAGCCCTATTACTACTCTTTATAAGACAGGGGTACATTTGCAGCATTTTAAATTCCATTTTCAAGGAGGAAAGTTTCTAAGTATAATCAGATGAGAGTAATAAAATACACTGACCTGGATCTGTTGCTGCAGGAGATTAATTTTGTGTTGCTGTTGCAGAAGTTGCTGCTGTTGTCTTGCAATCTATCAGAAATAAAGTTTCATTAAGTTAAAATGAAATGCTTACACCTTTGCCATTACCTCAAGTTTCTCTCCTGGCATTACAAGAATGCTTTACTGCACCTGTGTGTGAAAGAGTTTTATAAAATCAAAGTGGCAGAATCAGAAAGTCGCAAGAAAAAAATTTTGAACTGTGCCATCTCTCTGCTTTACCTGTATGTGAAAACTATTCACCTTGTATTACATTTGTAAGCAATTCACCTAAATCTTTACTGGTCAATGGGAAAATCAAGGGACATGGGAAATTCCATCTTTGTAGGATCAAGATAAGAAAACTCTGGTCACATTTATCTAATGAGTTTAACTGGGACATAAAAAGGAAATCTGTAAACAAAGACAGGGAAAAGCTTTCTATTACTAATATGATCTGCTTTGGTGAAACTTTTTTTGATGGAAAGATTTTCATAACTTAGGCACCAGAATTCCCATTGCTTCAAAAACTGAGCTGTTATAGTTCAAAGTCCATAGAGATTCTCCTTATTAGAAATATATTCATTGCCAACCTATGAAACAAGAGAGAAAAGTGACCGAAGAGCACTTGCACTTGGTTTAGTGGTGCCTTTCATGTAAGCATCAGTTTTCTTCCTATTTATTCTTATTCCCAAAAGCTAACATTCTAGAATGGGCTTCATGGAAGACTAAATGAGCGTGGATCAGTCCCAGTCTCTGGCTTTATTCTCCCTGAGCCTTTCTGATGCTGTGACTTAGTTTCAGGAGGAAATGCCCATATTATTTCGTTCAGCGTGAGATGACAACATAGTGGTCTGCTCCCAAATGCTGCTTGATAATTTCTGGTGATAATTGGTTCATACTGGAAGACATGACAAAGCTATCCCTAACATAGAATACAGTTTGATAAATGAGACTACTGCTTCCTAAAATGGAAGAGTATTTAATGGACAAAATGAAGAGTATTTAATCAGGTTGGAATGACCCACTCTGCTTGTCACCCTCAAATCAGAAATGGACAATTCATTCTGCAGCTCGAGGTATAGATGCTGGATCTTGTGAATATTTATTTTCTCTTAGCAAACTAGTGAAACACCACTAGGCATCTAATATTAATGGACCCTCCTAAATGATAAAGTGCTGCATAGAAATGCATCCAAAACACCACAGTGCAATTACTATCATCCACTCTAGACGTATGGGTTTGACACAGTGAAGTATGGTACATAAGCACCATGTGGCTCAAATTCTGAATTTTATTTGCCAATCGGTTGAGCTACATGCTCGCTTCATTGAGCATGACAACCTAGTTTTAAGTGTCATTTAATTTTCATTTTGAAATATAATTACAAAGTGTTCACTGTAAGATATCACTCGTCTGCAAATGTGTCAAGATTAATTTGTGCTAGCTTATTCACAAGTGTCAATAGTTAATTACTGTGTCATCTCTGGATGGCTAAATGACATTCTAACTTCTGATTTTTTACAGTGTTCCTTTATGTTATTTTCCATTAGGGGCTGAGTCCATATTCCTACATGTGGGCAAATATTCAAGCACATAAAATACCAGACGTCACAACTCATTAAAATCAACAGAGCATATATTGCTCTATATACCCCTATAAAATACATTTAACTGAAAAGATAATTCCAGTAATAATGTCAGATTCCTAAAAACTGCACATTAATTTGGGTCTGTCTGATCTAAAGCATCAGGGACTACTCTATAGGATCACTGTTGTGAGATTAATGTACTCCATGAAACAAGAAAAACATTTGGGAAGGTGATTTGTTCTTTTCAAAGATCCACATTTATACTTTGCTGGATCTTCTCTTCTTCCTCACTTCTGTGTCAGTCAAGACAACTTTTAGGAACCATGCGTGTTTTTCACTGATTTACCTACCTAGACTATACATAATGACCATATCATTTGTCATCCAAACCAAGGCAAGTTTTGTGAGTAGAAAAGGTGGGGTATTAATAATGACCCTGGAAAATAAGTATATATCGGAGTCCTTGGGGGGGATATCAAGATATGGCTACCCTATCTTTAAAGCTAGAGAAAATTACTGGACCAATACGTTAAACACCCCCAAAGTTTTTCTAGAACAGAACTCTCTTTTTCTGGATGAGGAAATGAAGGCCCAGAGAGGTCATTTCTCTTAAACTACATTGGGATTAGGTGTAACACCTAGGTGAATGAGTATCCCTGAGTAATTAAATAAATCCAAACCTTCTGGAGCAACGTATCATTTTTGCTATGCCTAGTAATTATGATGCCTTTTTCGTCTCCCACATATCCCCTCAGTTTTATTGAAGACTCTAGATTTCTAGAAAGTCTTTCTTTCCTCTTTCGTTCTTGTTTCCTTCCTTTCTTCTTTTTAATTTTTTACTTATTTTGAGAGTGCTTACAACAAATAAAGCAATCAATGTGATTACTCGCTGAGCTTGGCACATTCCACATCTCCAGTTCCTCAGCTCCTTTTGCAGGGCTCACCTGTTCTTGCTGTTGGCGAGCAAGGTCCATTTGCTGCCGTTGTTTCTCAATTTGCGAGGCTGCCAGTTTTTTCTGTTCATCATGCGCTGCCAGGAGCTGCTCCCGCAAACTGATCAGCTGGGTAATCATAGTGGAGAGCTGCCGTTCTTTTTCTGCCAGGCTCTCAGGTGTACCTAAAATGGAAGCAAGAAGAGATCTCACAAGCTTGAGGAATATCTTCAGAAATCAGGGAAAGTGGACAGAATTTAGAAGGGGACACCCTTAGATACTGAGAGATCTAGGGCAATGACTATAGGCCATTGTGAGCGCAGAAACACCGACCTGGCACTTACAACAGTGGAATGAATGCTAGGGTTTATCATTGTGCTTGCCAAAAAAACAGCGCTGTCACCAATAAAATCCTTACACATTCCTTCTTCTAGCTTTAAACACTAAAAGCAGAGCTGCCTACTCCATTCCCTCCTCATCACGCTGCTACCCTACCTGTCTGATCAAGTTAGGAAACCTATGATATTTAGAGATCAGAAACTGCAGATCATATTAATGGTCTCTAATCATCTCTTTTCTCAGCAGCTAAGACAATACCAATAGCTGGGATACAGTAGGTGCTGAATAACTATTATTTAAGGAAATTTTGGATCATTGCCCGCCAAATATTTCTGTTGTGCAAAGATCTATATCTGAAGCCTGAAGTTCAGAAGTCAGGGGTCAATCTCTCAGACATGGAATATGCTCAACAAAAACAATAAGAATTGCCACAGGTACAAAAGGATTGAACGTGGCTTGTTTTTCCTATGAAGGCATCAAGCTAAAGTTCTCAAGTTCATCCTTAAAGGCAACAATGTTGCTTATGGGGCTCTCTTACTTCTTTGCCATTTGTCATTTTTCAAAGAGAAAAGCTACATTCCAAGGTTGAAAAGGTTACGCATAAGGATATGCTGTTTAATGAATATGATGTCGCTGAACACTTATGGTATGCACTAATGGTGCTGAACAGTCTTTTTATGGGCAAATTGCACAGCTTTCCTAAGTAAAGGGTACAGAATCCTTTTGTGAATCTAAATTAGTGCATTTTACTGCAGCATAAGATAAGAATTTCAATCCACTGTATTTGAGCCACACAGGTTTCATTATGAAGAACTGATCTATGATTTGAAAGCTTTTCAGAAAGATGCCACCAGCTGTCAAAGGGGACAGAGATTGTCAATTTTTGTGTAGGTGTAAGAAGAGACTTCCAACCTCTATGAAACTCTCTTCAATCTTGCTAAGAAGGCACCAGAACAATCTGAGAAGATAACAATATTTTAAGTATTAGTGGCCATATTTTCTTAGCGGCCCCATTGAGAAAAGGCATCTTCAGAGGTTGCTGGCTAGCACTTGCTAGTATGTGATTCCTACAAGGTAAAACTGACGTCAGCAGAGAAGCTAGCACATTTAGGACTACTTTGGGATTCTTAATGTCAACTCAGACAAAAAAAAAAAAAAAAAAAAAAAAAAAGCTCTCTGTATCCCTTAAAGAATCACTGAGCTGAAAGGTGACCTAAAATCAAAAGGAAGATAGTGAGAAGTTAGAAAATGAAAGTATATCAACTGATTAAAAAAACAAGTACTATATCAAGGCTAATAAGCAGCTATTTTTTCTAGGTTGTGGAATTGATTTTACAATTTATTGTATCTATGTCAGCAACAGGAAATCCAGGTTGTTAAAAAGAAGAACTTCTTTTACCGCAAATATTAAATTATAAAAACACAAAAGCAGGCTTCCAAAGCAGATCATAAAAATCTCTTCAAAAATACAGAAAAGCTGAATTAATGTATATGTTAATATACACATAAATGAGAAGACACATGACAAGTATGAAATTTATGTATTTACTAGTTTTGCCCATTTTTAATTCCATAACTATTTCCTGAATGGTAACAATGTGTCAGGCACTATATCATCAAGTAATCACAAATATAAATGTAAACCACAACATCATAAGAATTTAAAACAAGACAAATATTTGGGGGAAGATTTAACCAGGTTTGGAGCATGCAAGTACCATGGCAGTCACATGAAAAAGTTACCTATTTTGAGGAGAATATATAGTAGTTAACTAGGCAAAGAGCTAGAAGGATCTTTCTAAAAGGAGCTTTTCAAACGGAGAAAACAGTATAGCCAAAGGGTGTATGAACGTGTATACAAGTGTGTGCAGGTAATGGGGTGTGCAGGGTTCTGTGTGTTCTAGCAATTGAATAAAGGTAATAAAATGTGAACAAGGAAAACAGAGAATAGAGTATCGGATTGGCTAGAAAGATAGGAAAAGTCCCTGCTATTCCATCTCTTATAGATCATGTTTAATGATCTTCTTGAGTATTCTAAGAAAAATTCAAAATCACGAAAGTCACTTAAGCAAGGGTAATGTGTTTGTTATGATTGTAGTATGAGGATTTGATTGGAAAATTATGAAATAAATGGAATATCTTCACATTTTATTACATATATTTCACTATTCTAACTTATATGTAGCTTTCTTATTACAGTTATCTATATGATGTGATTTAAGAAAAACTTTATTGGATATTGGGATAGTTTGTATTTTATACTGTTTTGTTAATCCTTCTGCAGGACATTTTGGCCAAGGGTTAATAAAAGAGCTATATCTGGTATTCAGATTTCCTAGGGAAAATTGTTCTTTCCCCGTGTCAAAAAAAAAAGCCTTTTCAATAATCTTCAATTTATTTTCCTTTTTCCTCTCAGAAGCTAAAGATAATACATATATGACATCTGAGCCTCTTCTGATTAGGGTGAAGCCAAGAGATCTGCAAATACACTGGCCTTTCCATTGCTCATAGATACATATATCTAGAAGCAACTGAATTTATGGTATAGCACCATTTCACTGAATCTTTTTACAGATCATGCCATTCAAATTGCTTAATTATAAACGCTGAGAGACATCTCAATAAATTTTGTCAATGGTCTTAAGATACCTGTGTAAGGAGAAAAGGCAGAAAATAGTATTTGTCAGTTGAGCATTCAGGAACTTATATAAGGCTGTTACTGTCATCTTCTTATTTTTTTGTTTTGTTTTGTTTTGCTTTTTTGGTACTCGGGATTGAACTCGGGTCCTTGCACTTGCAAGGCAGGCAGTGGAACTGCTGAGCTAAGTCCCCAGCCCTGTTACTGTCTTCTTAAACTTGAGAAATACTAACATATTTTGAAGAGATATGAGGGGCATAACAAATGAGGTTAGAGTGAGGAGTAGTAGTGTAACAAGTCTAAAATTCTCCCTTAATAGGTAATTTTACATATACATGCAGACATGTTGCCCCTGGGGACCAAACTAAGGAGAAATTGATTTACATCACAGAATAGTTTAGATTCTCTCAATGTATATGAGTGTGTGTGTGTGTGTGTGTGTGTGTGTCCATTTTTCTATTCTGTGCCCATTATATTTGTTCAGATACAATGGTTTAAACACAAGCATTTAGATGTATGGTGCTGGATTTTACTGTTTTAATTAACAGCAATTGTTTATGCTGCTGCAATAAAAATAACATCAAGTCTGAATTACACTGACCGACCAACCTGAGAACACAAGCTATTTCAGTTCCTAAAATATTCTAATTAAATATGATACTTTGCTGTGGCAAAGGAGCTAGAACACAAGTTGCCAGAAGAATAGAAAATCTATGGGACACAATGGTACAACCAGTATACTCAGGTTATGCCAAAAATGCGAAAGATTTTGAATCCTCTTCTGAGTTAATCATATCCTACTGAAATTTATCCAACCCATGGCCTGCCTCCTCCCACCCTTTCTTTAAAATTTTATAGTAAAAAATATTTAAAAGGAGGTTTTGTTGATTATGTATATTAACTGGTATGCATTTCATATGCGGTACAAGAAAATTCCTCTGCACTCAAAAAGGGAGGGGGGGATCGACAGGCCACAGGCTGGACATGCCAAACGAAATCATGTTTTGAACTTTGATGAAATCAACTTGGAAGAAATGGAGATCAGATTCTGAGGATCTGCCCCAGGTCAGCAGAGGTCATCAGTAGCTGCCTGACATCATCTGTTTCACATCTTTGAGGCTATCTTAAAATGATTCTCTAAAAACGCACTGCCAAAAAAATAGCCTCTTCTCCCTCCTACACAAAAACAGAGGTAGTTTTATAAACTGCAGAAAGGGAACCAGCAGAAAAGCTTCTGTACACAGCTTCTCTACAAGTCAGCGTGTCTGCTTTTATCCAATATCACACACAGTGTGCGCCTGACACTCTCCACTGTAAACTGTATCCATTATCCAACTCCAAAGACAGTGAAGCCGCTTTTCTTCTCGTTTTTTTTTTTGTTCCAAGGGGTCGTCTTTATCCCCAAACCACATCTGTCTTGAGTTTCTCTCAGATTAGTCAGGTGGATCAGTGCTCCCCAGGGCCTGCTCCAGCTGAAGTATTTTAATTTGACTAAACACCTGATTTATTTTATCTCTCCGATGAGAAAGGCAGTTTGTCTTAATAGAGGCTGTCAGCCCACAGCCCCATTCACAGCAATTTACAGGCAGCCAGGGACGCTGGAAGAGAAGAGTGCCGTGATTCTGTATTTTATCCTCCTCCAGAAAGCACCTAAAAGCAGCTATTCACTGTTACTGCATGTGGCATTTTAGAACTGAATTAGCTTTTTATTCAAGTAACTACACTTGTTGTGAATAGCTTATCTGTAAAATTGCTACATTCACTACTGATTTTATTAACCTTTGGCTCGATCACAAAATGGTCTTCAGTTAGGAAAGACCTTTAAAATTGACACATTTTTTTTCTTAGGGCCCTTTATTCCAGTGACTTCAGATTTACTGAATTTAATCCATTGAATTCTTTACCAGTGTACTTAAAATTTTGAGTCTCAATAGGAAGTCAATAGTGCGTAAATAAGGAAACACTTTTCAAAATGTAAATATGATGGCAATTTCCCTCATCAAAAGTTTTCACATACCATCTTTTATTATAACAGTTTTGAAATCAGCCCTCTAGCCTTTTTTTGGTAATAATCTGAAGAATTTGAAAAAAATTAACTAAAATAGACAATTTTCTTCAGTTCTACAACTACCTGTCCTCAGGCCCAAAGCCACAGAGAAAACGCAAAATAAATGAGAATTTAAGTAAAATAAGATAAAGATTTCCCTT